AGTTCCGTACTAAGTTCCGACTAAGTTGGCTTTTCACTAAGGCCCGTTATTGTTACCATAGGTTACAAGTGGCTTTTCACAAGGTCCCGTTATTGTTAGCATAGGTCACAAGTGGCTTTTCACAAGGTCCCGTTATTGTTACCATAGGTTACAAGTAGCTTTTCACAAGGTCCCGTTACAGTTACCATAGGTCACAAGTGGCCTTGCACAAGATCCCGTTACAGTTACCATAAGTCACAAGTGGCTTTTCACAAGGTCCCGTTACAGTTACCATAGGTCACAAGTGGCCTTGCACAAGATCCTGTTATTATGTTCCATTATGGTTACCACAGATTAAAAGTGGTCTTGCACACGATACTGTTACTCTGTTCCATTATGGTTACCACAGGTTATAAGTGGCCTTTCAGAAGGTCCTATTACTCTGTTTCGTTATGGTTAACACAGGGTACAAGTGGCCTTGCACAAGGTCCTGTTATTCTGTTCCGTTATGGTTACCACAAATTACAGGTGGTCTTGCACGAGGTCCTGTTACTCTGTTCCGTTATTATTATTACCACAGGTTAAAAGTGGCCTCTCATTAGGTCTGTTCCGTTATGGTTACCATATGCTACGAATGGCATTGCACAAAGTTCTGTTACTGTGTTCCGTTATAGTTAACACAGGTTGCTAGTGATTTTGCACGAAGTCTGTTCCATTATGTTTACCACAGATTACAGAAGAGCTTGCACAAGATCCTCTAACTGTATTCCGTTATGATTACCACAAATTAAAGGGGTCTTGCAGAAGGTCTTGTTATTTTGTTCCGACATAGTTACCACAGGCTACAAGTGGTCTTGCACGAGGTCCTTTTATTCTATTCCATTATAGTTACCACAGCTTAGAAATGATCGTGGACAACCTCTGTTTCTTTATGGTTACCCCAGGTTACAAGTGGCCTTGCACAAGGTCTTATTACTCTATTCCGTTATGGTTACCGCAAATTAAAGGGTCTTGTAGAAGGTCTTGTTACTCTGTTCCGATATAGTTACCACAGGTTACAAGTGGCCTTGCACTAAGTCTTATTACTCTGTTCCTTTATGGTTACCACAGGGTACAAGTGGTCTTGCACAAGATACTGTTACTGTGTTCCGTTATAGTTACCCAAGGTTACAGGTGGTTTTGTCCAAGGTCCAGTTACTCTGTTTCGTTATGGTTACCACAGGTTAGAAGTGACCTTGCATAAGGTTTGTTCCATTATGGTTACAACAGGTTTCAGGTAGCCTTGCACATTGTCTTGTTAAACTATGTGTCATCCCCGTAAATGCACAACAACGTTATCACTTCTTGACTAGACTTTACCAAGAAAAATCAGAAAATGAGGTTTCATCCGGTTACTTAATTGTTAAATGACAATATAATTTTATACTATCATTTGTTTGTGCATAAAGTTACACAATAGGCAGTCTTTGCTGTACTCACCGCAGGTATCAAACAATGATTTTATTACTAACATCTGAATTACAGTTAGTTTCAAAACATTTTTGTATATTGTTTTACTAATTGATTTGTATTTTTTGTACATTTATTAGGTTCTGTTTTCTTTGCGTGACTTTCTTTAATAAAATAAATCATCTTTGCAAGCATTTCCTTGTAGTTATTATTGAACGAAGAAGTCGTCTCAAAGCTCCTTATAACATAAATAAAACTGAATATTTTGTTGTATTTTAAGTTATTAGTCAAACTAAAGTAGAAGTTGCTTATTATGAGCTCTACAGCCAACAACCTTTCCGATAATTGGTTATTTACTAGGATCATTCTTGAGGACGTTGTTTTCATTATGACATTTAACTTCCAAAACCAATAAAATAACTACCATGACAAAATATGGACAGGTGGTTGGATGACTGGTTATTTACCAAGATCATTCTTGAAGACGTTGTTGTCATTATGACATTTAACTTCCAAAACCAATAAAATAACTACCATGACAAAATATGGACAGGTGGTTGGATGACTGGTTATTTACCAGGATCATTCTTGAGGACGTTGTTGTCATTATGACATTTAACTTCCAAAACCAATAAAGCAACTACCATGACAAAATATGGACAGGTGGTTGGATGACTGGTTATTTACCAGGATATTTTGTCATGGTAGTTATTTTATTGGTTTTGGAAGTTAAATGTCATAATGACAACAACGTCCTCAAGAATGATGAACAGGTGGTTGGATGACTGGTTATTTACCAGGATCATTCTTGAGAACGTTGTTGTCATTATGACATTTAACTTCCAAAACCAATTAAATAACTACCATGACAAAATATGGACAGGTGGTTGGATGACTGGTTATTTACCAGAACCAGTATAAAGAACATTCTTGTCAAAAATATGACTAAAATGTTATTACCAATAAAAAATTGTGACCAGAGTTGTACAATCAGTATAAAAATATGAGCAAAATGGTACAACCAATATAAGTCTGGTCACAATGGTATTACTAGTATAAAAGTCTAACCAAAATGCAATTACCAATATAAAAGTGCAACCAAATGGTACAACGGTTATAAAAGTCAAAGTTAAATGGTATTACGAATACAAAAGCGTGACCAAAATGGTATTACCAATAAAACAAAGTCTTACCATAATGGTATTACAACATCGAAGTTACCAAAATTGTCCAATTAATATAAAAACATAATGCAAAACTAGTAAACAGGCAACAAAACAGTATACGTTCATCGTCGTTGAAATGTATTAGTTTTTCTGCAACATAAAAATCCAAGGCTTGACTCCATGTAACAAAGAAGCTTTTAAATGTTCGAAGTTTCTACTAAGCAAATATATAATTAATTGTTCTGTACAGAGTTTGATGATATCGGTAATAAATGTGATTTCAAAACGTGAGATTTATTTATTAGAATAGAAAAGCCGCGAGTGGAAATTTGAAAAACAGCCCTAACAGAATCCTCTTTTATTAAAATGATTAATATGATTTGTGAAAAACTGTCATTCTCTTCCCATCATAAAGCCACGAGATGTCGCTGTTTTCCCTCTGGATCCTGGTATCTTGACAACAGCCTTTGTTAGTAAGCGCCACTGCTTGTTGGATGTCGTAGGGTCAGTTAACGAGTTTTGCACTTTAGAAATACAGTAGCAACTGTTTATAAACAGAATTCTTTAGCCCAATATCTGAAACACAATTTTCAGACAGTTCAGTATCAATCTATATGGTATTTCATATATACAGTTTTCTGTATCTAATATCATAGAGGAGAAAACTGTCATACATTTCAAGAAATTTGATTCTAGTTTATAATAATAACAAACTTCACAGACATGCGCCTATTCTTATCTACTTTTCTGTGTAATTAACTCGATAACTTGATAACAAACAAAGACTACATTAAGGAATACAATGTTTAACTATGTGTGCATTAATCCTTACTATAAGCATATACTACATTGAATAATACGGAATGTATTTATGTATACACTGATTCTTACTATAAGTACATACTACATTGAATAATACGGAATGTATTTATGTATACACTGATTCTTACTATAAGCATATACTACATTGAATAATACGGAATGTATTTATGTATACACTGATTCTTACTATAAGCATATACTACATTGAATAATACGGAATGTATTTATGTATACACTGATTCTTACTATAAGCATATACTACAATGAATAATACGGAATGTATTTATGTATACACTGATTCTTACTATAAGTACATACTACATTGAGGAATCCAGAATATATCTAGTGATATATATATATATATATACATTTTTCTAACAGATCTCGATGTGATCCAATCAAGTTTTACATCCAGGCTGTCGATCGCCCTCTAGCGGTAACTATACCCACCAAATTTGAATATGAGTTTTGTAAACTCGAAGTTTATTCATTGTTCAAATCCTTTTGACTCTCTGGAAACACGAGTGCAGTTTAGATAAATAATGACAGAGATCCGCATTTTAACTCAAGAATGTGTTTCCTAAAAATAACATTTGTCATTAGTAAGTGTATTTATAATTCGAATCAATCCATTCTGGAACACCACTGGTCTCTTTGTGTTATTGTTTTTCCAATTACTTTCATGAAGAATACTGATTATACATATATATATATTACACATTATGTATGTTTTATAAGGTTTATTTTGCATTGTTAGCTTAATATATGAATTTATATCTAACTTAAATTTCTTACAATGACCGAACCTTCCAGATATTATTGTGATTACGTCCAAAAATGTCACTAACCGCAAGGGTAATTTTTGATTGCAACTTAAGAATACTCTTATTAAAATAATCAATTTTAAGTAATTTGGTCATGGTTTGGTGCTACGTTTTATGAACTGAGTCTCTATTGAAAAATATGAACTTACATGAAGCACGTCCAAAAAGAGAGTCCCCGGTAGGGGTCTCCGCTGCAGAGTAACCTAGCAAACGACAGACAATATTCGCTTCCCTTTGATCCCATTCGTCATCACATATAGATCCCCAGCGGCCAACATGGTATATCTGCACGTTTCCTTGATTCGCTCTATGTCCTCCAATCAGGCGAATCGCACCTTCTGGTATTGCACGGGGACGCCGCCGAAGAACCATTCGTCGAGCGGGAGACAAGTAGCTTCGATGATGGAAATATCGATACCATTGTCCATCTACTGAAGCGATCAGAAAGATCGTGACCACAAACCAAAACGTTGTAAGAAATATTACACGCCGAAGAAACACGTTGTATAAAGAATTAGTCATTGTAACCGACTCTTTCCTATTGAATTCAACTAGATGACATAGCAAAACTTCTGGTGTTTTGCGAACAGTCTCTTGGAAGACAAGGTCACTGATTAAGCTGCCGTAGCAGCGCGTGCTTTATACTTCAGATATTGGGAGGGGGGTGAATTCCAACTAAGGGGTTAATATATTAGTCGCTGCTTCCTAAATTCCTTTTAGAGATTGTCAGATGATTCCTTAAATTGTGATGCTGACTTAAACCTAGTAACAACCAAAACACGTGGCCTTCCATTATGATTTTATTATACTTGCTCATTGCCACGCCTTCTCTAATTCCTTGTCCAATGAACAGCCGCTTGATGCCGGATATTTATCAGAAGATATTGTTCGTGTGCCCGATACGAATGCTTGTTGTTTTTTACCGTCGTATTTTTTAATTTTATTTATTTACAGCTACGTTAACAGCAACTGTTTAATCTTTAGCATCAGCTGCTATTTTTAATCAAAAATGCTAAATTTAAACATCTTTTACGTAAGTATAAATCTGTGCTTGTAACCCTGATACTTTGTGATGTTTTTTTTTATATAAACACGTGCATATGAACGTTAACACTTACAGCTTAGTTTCTAAAACAGCCCCTTCGTACATAATACATCAAACTGTTACGCTTTGAGCCCGTACTTGAATACTGTCTACAGCATTTACAGAATGTTTTACTAGCGCTCACGCAAAAATGTATCTATTAATTAACAAGTATTTTACAAAAAACAAATACACGCGTATAAAAGGGATAACTTTAAAAATTCACCACAGGTAGTTTCAGACTTTTATATGAAGATCCCAGTTTAATAAGGACGGAAGTGTGGAACAAAGTATAGGCTTACATTTACTAGTATCTAGCTCAAGGTTGTGGAAACTCCCTCTCCAGTAACAAGTTCGACAAAATCCTACAGGCTAGAATCCTATCTTAATATAGTTTTAAAATGTACAAAACCGACCGTGAGATTCACATAATGATATACACCAACTCATACATGGGTTATAGCCATATACGTACATTGTGTAACCTATACCATACACAAAGTTACTTCTGTAAACTATACCATACACAAGCTTACTTGTGTAAACTATACCATACACAAGCTTACTTGTGTAAACTATACCATAAACAAGCTTACTTGTGTAACCTATACCATACACAAGCTTACTTCTGTAAACTATACCATACACAAGCTTACTTCTGTAAACTATACCATACACAAGCTTACTTGTGTAAACTACACCATACACAAGCTTACTTCTGTAAACTATACCATGCACAAGCTTATTTCTGTAAACTATACCATACACAAGCTTATTTGTGTAACCTATACCATACACAAGGTTACTTGTGTAAACTATATCATACACAAGCTTACTTCTGTAACCTATATCATACACAAGTAAGCTTGTGTAAACTACACCATACACAAGCCTACTTCTGTAAACTATACCATACACAAGCTTACTTCTGTAAACTATACCATACACAAGCTTACTTCTGTAAACTATACCATACACAAGCTTACTTCTGTAAACTATACCATACACAAGATGGTATTTATATGGCAAACTGAGTATTAACTTTACAATGTGAATGTAGAAAAAAAAATATTTGAGCAGTAATTCCTAGCTTCTCAGCTAACCAGAGTTTTGGAGATACTGGCTACTCAGAACTGGCTAATTATACCTTCTTAGTAAACTGGCTATCTGGAGGAGTGAACAAAGAATTATAATGTAAAGTTTACTGTATTTCCGAACAAACCACAATCTCGTAATTTTTGTAGAGTTTCTTGAGATGTTTTTTTTTTCTTTCCTGAAAACGTTTTCGCGGTAAATTATATCTTTTTAAAATCTACAAAAGTTTTCTTCTATGAAAAGACATATTTAAAACCTTACTGGCAGTAGTATATGACCCATTTACAATATTCTATTGTATTATTTGAAATAATTGTATAGAGAATATCACCCTAAAAACGTAGTATTGTAAACTTATATGGTACTTTAAAAGATATTATTGTAGGCCTATATGCAAGTATATTGAATTTAGCACTCTAGAAATACAATGCTGTAGGGCTATATGTAATTATATTTAGTCTAGCCTCCCTACAACTTACTACTGTTGGCCTAAATGTAATTTTTCATTTTCGCAATGCAAAAGTCAGACTCAGTCTACAACATAGAATAACATTTTAAATATAATACCGGCTACCTAGTCTAATGTTCTCCAGTGAATCAGCGGTAAATTAACGGATTTACAACGCTAAAATCCGGGGTTCAATACCGCTTGGTGGACAGAGCGCAGATTGTCTATTGTGTAGTTTTTGCGCTAAAACAAACTAACAAAAGGTGTGCCTAGCTTATTCTACACATTCCTACTGCATAGTCCTCATGGCTACCTAGCCTATTGTACACATTCCTACTGCATAGTCCTCATGGCTACCTAGCCTATTGTACACATTCCTACTGCATAGTCCTCATGGCTACCTAGCCTATTCTACACATTCCTATTGGATAGTCCTCATGGCTACCTAGCCTATTGTACACATTCCTACTGCATAGTTCTCATGGATACCTAGCCTATTGTACACATTCCTACTGCATAGTCCTCATGGCTACCTAGCCTATTCTACACATTCCTACTGGATAGTCCTCATGGATACCTAGCCTATTCTATAAATTCCTACTGGATAGTCCTCATGGCTACCTAGCCTATTCTACACATTCCTACTCGATAGTCCTCATGGCTACCTAGCCTATTCTACACATTCTTACTCGATAGTCCTCATGGCTACCTAGCCTATTCTACACATTCTTACTCGATAGTCCTCATGGCTACCTAGCCTATTCTACACATTCCTACTCGATAGTCCTCATGGCTACCTAGCCTATTCTACACATTCCTACTCGATAGTCCTCATGGCTACCTAGCCTCTACCTGCTTTAAAACAAAACCTGTGAACAGTATGAAACTCTGGAAGATTCACAAACGTTTACTCACGCTGCTGAAGGCCACTATCAAATCTAGAGAGTCATCCATCCGAACACCACACTTCCATAAGGTGTGGTCCTTGAACGCAAGGGCGAAGGCAATGGAGTTGAGAAATGAAAAATCGTTAACCTTGACAAACAGAATAACAGACTTGCAAGTAGTATGTAGAAAGCAGGGATTATTTTCAAGGATCTCAATTCCATATCTCACTGACCCTCTTAGTTTTTAATTTCTAAACGTTTCTTGTAATGAAGAACGAAATGAACAGGATTCTAGTTAGGTAGGTTACAAGTCTCTGACTACATGAGATAAATGGTTTTAATCTTATTTTATTATTATTATTACAATGTCCGGGAAAGTTACTGACTGCTCGTACTCTATTGTCTTCGAACGTATATTCTCTACTTGTCGACGAAAAAAAAAGATTTATCGCATTGTTTCCGACAGGTTGAATATGTAAATAGACAGTTACTAAGAATATACAACTCCTTCATTACCGGTATTGGTTTGGTTTTCCAAAACTTATTTTGACTTAACTTACACATGCCCGTGTTAACTTATTCTATTAATAAAAAAGGGATCTGTTATTGCCTATCTTTCCTTTGTTAAACTGTAGCACACGAATTTATCTTTAAGTAAGACACTTGGCGCGATTACAGACTGAAAACGTGCAGAATAACAGATGGAATTCGGGATACAGTTTCAACTATACTTTATCAAACTCGTGATTCAAATAAACTTAATAACCTAAGTGTACTTCGAATCTTTCCTGGATAAACCTTCAAATCTCCTTCTCTTGCACTAGATCTCACGGTAATGGCAAACTTTCTCCTGCTGTAGAACCTGAAGTGATAACAGCCTTTCTCCTGCTCTAGAACCTGAAGTGATAACAGCCTTTCTCCTGCTGTAGAACCTGAAGTGATAACAGCCTTTCTCCTGCTGTAGAACCTGAAGTGATAACAGCCTTTCTCCTGCTGTAGAACCTGAAGTGATAACAGCCTTT